TAAGCTGCTTGCCACAACCTTGCTGCAAGTATCTATGTGAAAAATGTTGTTTTATTCTTTGTAAGCTGCTTGCCACAACCTTGCTGCAAGTATCTATGTGAAAAATGTTGTTTCATTCTTTGTAAGCTGCTTGCCACAACCTTGCTGCAAGTATCTATGTGAAAAATGTCGTTTTATTCCTTGTAAGCTGCTTGCCACAACTTTCTATCAATGAAGCAACTCTGTGATCAGTCATGACAAGTATACAGTGAGATAATATACATAAAAAGATATAGCACATGAGTGAATGATCAAATCTGTAAGTAAATTCTAGCTTGCATGGATACAGAATAAAAAAACATTTCAGTGAGATAAAATAAATGCTAAAAACTAATATTTTGCTACTTTATATACGACTTGAATGAAATAGCTTTAACTATAATAACCAAAGGAGAGAACATTTTAACCAAAATATAGTGTTATTGTTATAAATATTTATCATTTTCTTTTTCAATTTTTTATTACAAGTTTGGTTAATATACATCTTTTCTATAGATTTTAAATTTTAAATATTAGATAAAGATTGTTCTTCAAAAACAAAGAATAATATTAGCATAATTAACAGTAATTTCTAGAAAGAAAGACTGTGTGAGAGTATAGAAGAGTAAATCTTAATGAATCAGAATAAACGTTATATGAGTAAGTAGTTATCAAGAAACTATTTTAGTATTCAGATACTATTTAACTTGTGCTTAGTTTAAGAAATGGAAATAGGAGATTGTGCAAATTAAGTATGTGTAACAAAAAATGTATGTGTAGGCCTATGTAGAATGTTTGAATGAAAGAAATTTTTGTTACATTACGAGATTTATAACAAAAACTTTGTTACAGTTTATTATTTACACAATCTCCAATAAATCATCAAGAATTTTATTTTTCATTATCAGCGTGTCATCTATCACTTTAAAAGACTAGTTGAAACTTATTACATAAATAAACTTTTTTTTATCTTTGCAAAATGCTATAAATTTACTTTGGGAATACACTGGTTTTTAAGTCTATATTGGGCTTTCAAATTTTGTTGATTACATGAAATTCATATTAATATAAAACCTGTATACATTCAGATATTTATAATACCACATTATACATATATCGTCAGCTTCTTGTCAAGTCTGGCATCAGGACAACTACTTTCAAACTCCTGTTTCTGTCAAATAATGCACAGTCTTCATGTGAGAAAGTAATGTGTCTGGTCTCTGGTAACCCTTTCCACAAAAAGTGCATACTTGTATGGTAGTCTTCCCATGTATAAACTTTTTGTGCCTGCTCAGACCTGATGTGAATGCAAACCAGGCATGACATATGTTGCATTTATACTTCTGCCCTAAAATGAAAAAGAGTAATTTATCAATAAGTGATTTATTTTATTACTTGAATTTCATTTTACTTTATACCATAGGTTGACTATGGTATTTCCAACACATAATAGTTTACGTTTCACAAAAGAAATTGACATGTTTTATATGAAAAATATAATTTATATGGTCCTACTTATGTATTTTCACAAATAAAAATTACTGCTACTCAAGAACCCTAACATCAATAAACTGGATTAACTCACAACATCACTTATTTCCACATCCATTCATATAAAAGTAGAAAAAATACAATTATTCAATGTTTCAACTCCTTAAAATTATATCTCACTTATAGAGTATTTAGCCAATCTATGTTCTTTACTTCTTTCAAATTACTGAATAATCCAAAAGAAATCTTCTCAGTTTACTGTAGATTAATCAGGAAAGCTATTTAAACAGTAAAGATAAAAGTAATTGGTGTTATTAAAGTATGTTTCATCAGCTGTATATCACATCATTTGTAACTGACATAGACCTGGCAAACAAACTTACTCTGGGTTAAAAAATATTTATTTTTTCTTAATTGTTCAAGACAGAATACTATCACTAACTCCAGAGAAATCACTTTATTTATCATCTAAAGATTATGATCACCTTCTGATGATGATTTTTAACCTTCAATCTGAACCTACAAGTCATGTAAAACACAGACATTTATTATTAGCTCTCTTCAGAATACATAGCTTTATTTACTTGAAAATACAAGTTGTTTTATTCACAAAATATATATATGTTGTTAAATTCAGAATTTTGTTACGTTAAATAATTTTCAAAATTAATTTACATGTGAAGACATACATTAAACATACTTACCTTCAAGTTCAAATAAAAGTAAGGCAAAATTTAAAGAACGTTTAATTTTTTTACCAAATAATAGATTTACAAATTCTCTATAAATCAGGTTATAAATGAGAAATTAACTCCACTAATATATTTGATATTATTGAATTATACTGTGCAATATTATTAATGCCTTTGCATATTCTACTTCATCTGTAGAAATAGTCTGATATTCAGACTTCTTAAAAAAATTAGTTTTTGAAACATAAATGGAGAAAAGATTAAATAAAGGTCAATTTGTTTAACAGTAATTTACACCACAAAAGTAAAGGCCCTTATTTATCAGAGATGACAACCTAGTACAGCACACATGTGATTTATATATGTTGATCCAAAAGTGTCATCTTTACTGATTGTAATTTATAATTAATTTTGATGACACATTTTAATATGAGCTTTCACATCTCCTGGCCAACTAAACTGTTTGAAGCAGAATGAGCAATGAAATTTTTTCCTAAATGGTTGGTGCATCAATTGATGTCGTCTGAAGCTGTACTTGTTAGCAAACAGTTGTTGACAAATTGCACAGAACCGATCTGAATCAGATCCAGTTGACTTGCCCATAGTCCAATTATCTAGTCCTGAAAATAGTGAATTACCAAAAATGTCAAATATACCTTGTAATACATTTATTTCAACTTACCTATAAACTAATATAGATACATCTCATATGGATCTTAAGTAAAAATAAAATACAGCAAACAATATCTTTATACAAAAATCAATTACATTAACAGCAAATTACACATTTGTAGAATCCTTTTACCAGAGGCATTGGAGCTCGGGCCCATTTAAGTCTGATGTTGATCATGGTTTTCTGTTCTAATTTTTCAAGACACTTACTGGGGATTCGGAGCACGGGCCACATGTGCCAGTGCCTAGCAACACATCTCGTTTTTACAAAAGGGGTAAACAAGCAAATACATATCATAAATAATATTTCTAAAACTGATCTTCATTTCACAGTTGATGTTGTTTGTTATTAAGCACAAAGCTACACAAAGGGCTATCTGTGCTCTGCTCACCATGGGTACTGAAACCCAGTTTCTAGTGGTATAAGTCCGCAGACATACCACTGTGCCACTGGGGGCATTCACAGTTGATGTTGTTTGTTATTAAGCATAAAGCTACACAAAGGGCTATCTGTGCTCTGCCCACCATGGGTATTGAAACCCAGTTTCTAGTGGTATAAGTCCGCAGACATACCACTGTGCCACTGGGGGCATTCACAGTTGATGTTGTTTGTTATTAAGCATAAAGCTACACAAAGGGCTATCTGTGCTCTGCTCACCATGGGTATTGAAACCCAGTTTCTAGTGGTATAAGTCCGCAGACATACCACTGTGCCACTGGGGGCATTCACAGTTGAACTATTAACTGGTTATATATTTATTTATGAGTAAATTTGGCTAAAGTTGTTCATTTTTAAGTACAGCCACATCTAGAAAGCATAATAAAAAAAACGTTTTAAAAAGATTGCAACACAATACTACAACAACTGCAATTGAAAATAATGTACATTTTATGTGTACATATTAAAAATACCTCTCATAACACATTTCAATAATACCATTTCATGTATATTAAAAGCTAAAGTACCAACAAGATATGTACAAGTTGTGGTGCTATAGGACAAGTGATACATGTTTAACAAACGTTTAATTGATACTGACAGAATTTAATTTCTATGATTACTGCAACAAAAGTAATTTCTTTAAAAAGATATTGTGATATCAAAAAAATATTCCCCTGGCTACACCAATTAATGGTAATAATACACTTTATTTAAATACTGTGAATTGCTGATACAATATCAGTGTGTTGTTTTTTTGGTGAGCATTTCTACACGAAGTGATCAATAGATTGGATTTATTAGCTATACATGTACAGAGGTTGAGTATGTTATATTAAAACAATTTTAATGTTTCATCACATCTGGTCATGATCTATCTGATGATCATGCATCTTGACAATAGCCCTGCAGTGCAGTTTCTTTGCAAAAGGGGGTCATGTCCAAAGCACAACTCTCCTAATTGCATAGGTTTCATAGACCATCTTGTGTATGAAGATGATAGTTTCCAGTGACACAGAAATCCATAACCTCTGTGTCTGGTGGCTTGACTGGTATGTGCTCCTATGAAATAGCATGAATATCCATTTTCCAACCAATCGAGCTATGTGGTAATTAAACAGATGTCTCTTCAAAGCAACTTGTGTTTTTTTCTCAGATGAAGATCTTTCTTGATTATATTGTTCACTGTTTTCTGAGTCAAATAAACACTTTTATGTTTGTGGATTCCTGTTAAAAGATACCACATTTTGCTTACCATGGCTAGGTTAAGACAAATCTCATTCTGAATTGTCCCAAGTTGTTCAATATTCCTTTGTTTTTTAATGCCATAAAGTACAAGAGATATCCCATATTAGAAATTCTCAATCCCCAATCTAAACACATCTTTATGATATTTGAATATGAATATTTTGCATCAGAAAGGGCTCTTCATTCCTTTCCCAACTGTAATAAAATTTGGGTGGCATCACACTACCTAAAAAATGTCAAGATGTAGTTCTCAAAATTCCACCTCACGCTGACTTTATATCAGCTGTGGTTGTCAAATGACTTGCTAATTTAATTATCCATATTAATTTTAACATAACCTACTCAACCCTGTGTTCACCTAGTTATCAATGTTTATATGATAATGTAATGCTTTTCTCCTAGTGAAGACTTTCCCAAAATAAAAACATGAAAAAGTGGCAATGACTGTTGTGCTGGTGGTGCCTATATGATCACAATAATTGTTTTTGATGAATACTGTTTTCCACAGGCATTACAGTTTATATTGGTTGATTCTGAAGTTTCTTCATAGCCTCTGTAGTACAATGAATACTATCTGCAAACAAGAAAAAATAAAATAAAAATCAGTATAACTACATAGTACAATATTTTGAATGGATTTTTGACTTAATTGTTTATATATAAAACAATAAACCTGAAGAGAATATCCCAAATTATGAACAAACATAAAATTGTCACTGTTTGTGTGATTGACAATTCTTTCAAAGGAAAAACATTTGTCCCATCTACATTTTTTGTTATGAAATATGCATTTGTGTATATTATATATGTATATACACACACATTTTTCAAATATGCATGTAATATATACTATAATATACAGACAGAACATTTTCTGTTCCAATTTATTGATCTCAACAGAGCAGAAATAATATTAACATAATGAAAATTAAATTTTCAAAGCTTCTACATCATGTGACATTTATTACAGTCCACTAGTGATTTTTACTGTACTTTGCTTTATCACCTATACAATACATTTATCAGGATTCTTTACTCCAAACCCTACATTCATAGAAACTGCTCGATAAGACCATGTCACTGTTAAGCATTTGTAAATGTTGTCACTTATTACGTTCTATAATCATCTTTGCACAGGGATAGCCCTAATGATGGTAAATGTGTTACTGAAACTAGTCAGTTGTGAATAATAATAAAGTCAGATTTTGTTTTTTACTCTTAATAATGATTTACTGAAGTTATGAATATTTTCTATTATACACACTAAACGGTGCTTTATAAAGCACTATAAAATTGAATTGTACAAACAAAAAATTTCAAGTCACATGCACATATTAAGTCTGAACCATAAAAATCTGTTTATTGCTCACAATATCATTAACAAGAGTAAAATATTCCAAATAATAACAAAATTTGGGTTATTCCAGCTTATTTAGGTCTAGTAGAGCAATGGTTTGTCCATTCAGATAACATGAGGAACAAAAAATCATGGACAATAGCCACATGGAGAGAGAAACTTATAAAGTTAGGCTTCTAGTCTCAAAAACTCTGAAGGTGTCCAGATCATAATCTGGCCTATGGCAGGAAATGAGTTTAAGTCAAATGCTGGTAATTTCTAAAATATATGTTAGTACACAAATTGTTTGTTTTGAATTTTGAGCAAAGCTACACGAGGGCTAACTGCGCTAGCCGTACCTAATTTAGCAGTGTAAGACTAGAGGGAAGGCAGCTAGTCTGCACCACCTACTGCCAACTCTTGGGCTACTTTTTTACCAACAAATAGTGGGATTGACCGTCACATTATAATGCCCCCATGGATGAAAGGGCGACCATGTTTGGTGTGACAGGGATTTGAACCAGTGACCCTCAGATTACGAGTCGAGCATCCCTAACCCTAAAAGCAGGCAATGCAGATATTCACATTTAATATATTCACTTGTTCTGTATTTTATTTTTAAAAAACATTTCACACCTACTCCCATGTTGAGTTTAGCCAAAAAACTATTCCAAGGTCAAAAGTATTTGTTTGTACAAATAAATATGTCACTCAGACTGTACACAGTGAAAATAAAGATGTGTCACTCAGACTGTACACAGTGAAAATATGTCACTCAGACTGTACAGTGAAAATATGTCACTCAGACTGTACAGTGAAAATAAATATGTGTCACTCAGACTGTACACAGTGAAAATAAATATGTGTCACTCAGACTGTACACAGTGAAAAAGCATCTTGAAAAATGGCATTTTATGCAAATTATCAGAGTAGACTCAAGGCAGTCAATCGAAAAGGAGACTGCCAAAAATATATTTTTATTCTGTGGGATTAAATTACAACAAAAAACATTCTGACTATTCCAATCAAGTTATTATTTACAATGCAGTCAAAACCATCCCTCTCCCATGTTATATATCATCTTAAAGATTATTGAAACAATCCACAATTTTCTTAAATATGCTATTTTTATGGGCATATGTACAAATTCATTATTATTAACTTTGATAGCATATAACCATGAAGCTGTTTTGGGTGTTAAATTATACTAAATGGTGTAGATCTTTAGTTGTGGTACTAGCAATTAATAGTATCAGGATGTTTTACATATACATATAATTTAAAGACAAGAAACCTATTGCCATCCCATCCATTATACTAACCTCTAAAAAAACATACTCAAAATCAGCCCTTATTATTAAGATATTTACAAAGCCTTAAACATCTATGAATTAACTGCACTTACCACATCTAAAGACAACCCATTCTAAAGGCTAACTATTTTTTTAGAAAATAAAGCTATCTTAGTTGATGACTTATCCTGGAAACTTTATATCTGTATCCTTTAATCTTACCATTCTCACCATTAAATAAAAAAAAACATCAACATTATCAATTCCTTTTACAGCCATAATCACTTCAGTCAGATCCCCTATAACAATTTCAGATACCTTAACCTATCTTCATATGACATCCTTTCCAACAATTCAATGTCTTTCAAACAGCCCAAGGCTGAACATGGTACTCCAAATGTGGCCTAACCAATGACATTATAATATGTCTTTAGATACTACCCAAAGTCCTTTTTCCCTGCAACTACCAACAACACATTATTTGAATGGTTGAAGAGAAAGGTCAACCAGAACACCAAGATATTTTTCTTCTACAACACTGTTACGGTTATTTCCATTAAAATTATAATTCAGATTTTGATATTCCAGTTTTATTATAATTAAAAGTCACCACTTAACAGTAAGATTTTCTTTAAATATATAGGAATAAGCAAAACGTTTAGGATGAGAGTAGGACCTTTAAGGGATGATAGAGGAAAGATAATATCTGATGATTATAGGATGACTGGATTATTAAATTATACTTTAATTTTTACCAATGAAGATTTAGGTGACATTCCTCATCCTGAACAATTGCTAGATGAAAACAAAATGACCATATTAATTCCAAGTTTCTTAAGAAAACAATTGAAAGATTTAAAGAATGATAAAGCTCTTGGGCCAGATAATGTTTACCCAAAGGTTTTGAAGGTGGTTAGGTATTGTATATGTATGCCACTTGCTACAGTCTTTTCTAAATCCTTCAATAGTGGGCAGGTACCAGAAGATTGGAAGTTGGTTTTTGTTACTCCTCTTCTCAGAAGAGGTGATAAAAATTATTCCAGTAATTAAAGGCCTATTAGTCTTACATCAGTGATGGGAAAAATGTGTGAAAATCTGGTAAAAGATGTTTAACAAAGTTTAAAATTTTGTTGGATAGTCATTATGGTTTCACAAGGAGAAAATCTTGCCTGACTAATCTTTTAACATTCTTTGAAGAGGCTACTGCTTTAGTTGATAAGGATATGGATATGGTGTACCTGAATTTTAAGAAAGCATTTGACAAGGTGTTACATAAAAGATTTGTTAAGTTATCCCTGTAGGTATGGGTGATGGGTTGGCTCATTAGATAGAAAACTAGTTAAATGTAAGAAAGTGGGGGGTTGTTATAAATGGAGTTCAGTCAAACTGAATTAATGTCACGAGTGGGATTTGTTCAGTGTTCCTTTGCTCCTTTTGGTTTACATGAAGGAATGGCCAATAGATTGTTCAAATTTGCTGATAATATTAAAGTTTTGGCTATATATGAGGATGGTGCTGCTGTTTTACAAATAGATTTAAAACATAACTAGAGGTGATCAGTAATATTCAACTTGATTTTTAGAATCAGCATCAAATTACTCGGAGACAGTTGCATTTTTTATAGTAGCAGCGAAAAGTTTTTTCTTGTTTTTTGTCTGATGTTATAGAAGATAAAGAGAGTTTTTTAAATGGGAAATAAAAAATATATAGGTTAAAAGTTAGCTGAAAATGGAGTTATGTTAGATTTATTCAAAATAATCTTTTATATGATGAAAATTGCATATAAGAATGTTAAAAGAAAACATAATAGCAGTACCAGTTTACAAAAGCAATGAGTATAATAAGATTATATACTGAAAATATATTCAGGCTATGTTCAAAACTTTCATTATGGTATTATTTTTTGTTACAAAGTATCTGCTTGACTTTTTGTGTTTTTTGAATATGTTCTCAGTTTCAAGCTGTAAGAACCAACAGTAATCTCCCATGATTCCATTGTCCTTTATATTGCTGTTCCATTCTAGAAATATCATCACTCACTGCACCTAGATCATTTGGAAAGAAGTCTAACTGGGAGTGTAAGAAGTGACATCCTAAGCTATCATTTCTTGTAGTTCTTGAGCATATCATCAATCGTCACAGCATAGTTTTCATCTCCACGATTTTCTAAGAAATTTTTGCCAGCCAGTTTGAATGATTTCCAGGCTGCAAGTTCTTTCTGACTGAGTACTGTTTCAAAATCATCATCCATCAGCACTTCTCAAATCTACGGCCCAACAAAGACACCTCCTTTCATTGAGTACCGTTTCAAAATCATCATCGATCAGCACTTCTCAAATCTACGACCCAACAAAGACACTTCCTCCATCAGCACTTCTCAAATCTACGGCCCAACAAAGACACCTCCTTTCATTTTTGCTTCACTGATTTTTGGAAATTTGTCAGACAGATTTCTCAAACCATTACTATCTTTGTTCATTTGTTCAACAAAATTCTTCATCAGTCCCAGTTTAATATGAAGTGGAGCAGAGACACATTTTGAAGATTCACTAAAATTTGATACTCAACATTCTGTTTCCCTGGTATGTAATTCTCTCTTCCTAGCCATTCCTTTGTTTTGCAATGATTTTTATCATCTCGGCTGTCCCAGAAACACAAAAAGGAACAATGTTTGGTATACCAAGTCTGCAGGCCTAGCAAGAGTGCAATAACTTTTAGATCAACACATATGTTTCACCTATGGTGATCATATATGATGGCCTCAAGTAAAATCTGTATGCTTTGATAGACAACATTGAACATGCGTGAGGACTTATGTTGATTGGTTCACTCTAAATCCAGAACCCAGTCACGGGGTACCGACATCCACGTGGGGACAGGATGAGTGCTCCCAATTAAAGGGGTGAACTGCAATTTGACGTCTCACTCCGTAGTAATTGTATAATG